GCCGAAGGGTTGTGACCTTTATGAAAGGTTGTGTCCTTTCTAAAGGGTTGTGACCATTTGAAAGGTTGTGCCTTTTCCAAAGTGTTGTGACCTTTCTGAAAGGTTGTCTTCTTTCCAAAGGGTTGTGACCTTTACCCTTTGTTGGCTATAAATAGAGAGGTTTTCTCTCATTTTTTTTGTATCGAATTCTTCCCTTCTTTTGCATACATTTCTTACAAAACAAAATCGATCGATCGTGTCTGTGTGTGTGATTCGTTGCTGTCATTTTGAGTTCGTTGAAATTATCGAAGTTTGAGGTACCGCTACTTCTTTAATGGTTAATCCGTTTTATCTTGGGAGGAATTAATCTGCAACCTCGGGTACTTGAGGAGATTAAATTTCTTAAGGACACACAGTGGGTTTTGTGGACTCGGATAGTTCTTTGTGTTTTTCTTTTCATCTTTTATTTTTTCTGGTTTGCTAATCTGAATACAGGAGAAAACATGTGTAACGTCTTATAATTTTGTAACGTTTAAAATAACAAGTTTTAAGTTGACGAGGCAAATTATCACGTTTTGCGTCAATGGAGATGTTGGGATAATAATCGTAAATGGATGATTATACAAAGGAATTTTTATATTAAGTCATTTGGAAATATTTTAGACCAAAGTCATTGGCTAAAGGGAGCCTTAGAGTAAAAATCTTAATTGGCGGATTATTGATGAAAAGTTTTTATATAATCTTATTTATGGGTTGGCTTTGGGAGAGCATATCTCCCGTGAGTTAGAGGGACCACTACCTATCAAATCGAAGGTCCATGAGTCTAACTTCCAACACATAAAATCATTTGTCAAATCAACATCAGAGTAAGAAGTTATGACCATTTTATCGAAGAGGGTAGATCTAGACTAGTGAATCAAATCTGGTCAAAATCACTTTATAACTGCCTTTTGGGACTATTTTCATTTCAAAAAATCTCTGAGAACATCAAGGTCGTATTCCTCTCTTTTCCTTAAGGTTCCGAGCTCAAAATCAAGCGATTTCACCATCCAATTCTTCCAAAAATCAAGGCATATGCTAGGGGTATTGTGAAGAGCAACTAACACATGTTTCCCGTATTGTTTGGTGGAGTTTGAAGTTTTTTCGAAGGAGAGAACTTGGTGATTTTATAGGTTCTTGGTACTTGAAGCTTGTGTTAAGGTAAGAGTTCGAGGAACATTTTGTGATCCCTTAAGCTTGAAGTAATATATATTCAAGTTATTATTTTCTAACACTTCCTTTTTGGTGTTCAAAGATGAAAGACATAGTGATGAATCATAACATCGAAGCAAAATGGATTATTGAAGGGTATTATTTGCTTAAGTTTTTGAAGCTAATATGGTTGAAGGATGTTAATGAAGAAATTCTCAGGCCTACTCCTGTCTCTACGGGGGTTTTAACTCGTACTCGTATTATTAACGTTACGAATAAGTACAATCAAGATGGATACTGGCATCCGAGAAAGTCTTAAAACCTCACATCATTGTTCTGCTTGTGGACTCATTGATGTTTCTTGTCTTGGAGCCCAAGAACTTCATTCTCCTTAACTGAAATAATAAAATTTGTTTATTATTTTAAGAGAAAACACATTAAAAAGTGAATTTCTTTCAACCCTCCGAACACCCTCCTTTAGCACTTAAACTACACGGGTGTTTAAATACCCCCTTAACATCTTTGAAGTGAATTTCTTTCAACCCTTCGAACACCAGCCCAGTTGAAGGTTGGGTGTTGTTAGACACGCACGTTTTCATTCGTCCACATCGCTAAGTGTTTAAAAAAATAACTTACCCGTTACATATAACCCACCCGTTCCCAAAATAAAACCTGACCCATTTCTAAAAGAATATCCCTAAATCTCAAATCTCATTGTCATTCTAAAACTAAACCTAATATGAGTTCATTGTGAAGGGATCTTCAACACATATTGTGAATGGATTATTCAAATTTGTGGTGTTTCTCAACGAAAACAAAGTTACCAGGTTAGTAATTTTTGTTTGGATGGTTGTAGCATTTGAGTTTAGGCTTTTGCCTAAAGCTTATTTTTTTAAAAAACTTTTTAGTTTGACAATGAATGTGTACGTCACCTTGAGGTTTCACCATGGTGGAAAATTACAACAAAACCCTCGTATTAAGTACGACGAAGGTACTGTCACTAATTGTTTTGCAGTAGATGTTGATAAATTCTCCTACTTTGAATTTGTTGATTATGTTAAAGAAATTGGCTATAATTTTTCTGGTTGTATTGTTTATATTAAACCACCTAAAGCTCGTCATGTTGTTGAAGTTAAAAGTGATAAGGGATATTATGGTTATTGTAGCTCAGTTAAAAAATGGAGATATTTGTTGAACTTTATGTGATTCATTTAGTTGAAGAACCTATTGTGGTCCCCCCCTCCCCCCGAACTTGGATATGTAAATGATGTGTGTGGGGAATGTAATGCTACTTTTGATAAAGAATCTAGTCAAACCTTCAAGGGTAGTGAGGGTTTAGGCCTTTGAAGAGGTTGCAGAACCTCAAGAACCTGTTGTGGGAGGTACATTTATTGATGTTGGGGAAGACTTGGGTGAAGACTTGGGTAGGAATTCTACTCGTATTGGAGAGGACTTGGGTGAAGACTTGGGTAGGATTCTGCTAGTGTTGGAGAAGACTTGCGTAAGACTTCTACTAGTGTTGGAGAAGACTTGGGTGAGACTTATTTTGCTGTTGTTGCTGCATCTGATATTCCAGTAGTTGGATTTAATTCGAAAAGTGAAACAGAAGCAAGTGAAAATTCAGAAAATGTAGATTTGTTTGGTGAATGAGAAGATGAGTATGATAGTGATGTTTATGAGAAGGCTATAGCTATTAGGAAAGAGAAAATGACTGCTAAAATTAATAAAAAGGACATTAGACCTGAAGGAGTTAATTTAGAAAAAAAAGAATTGATTTGGAATATAATGAATATTTATCCAAGAAACAAACTACTTTAGAGGGTAAGATAGTTGGAGATAAGCCCTACTTTGATTCAGATGAAGCTGTTAGTTTTGAAATAGATACCGATGAAGATGTTGATGAGGAAGATGAGGTTGAACAACCTATAAAAAGAGAAAGAAAAGCAACAAGAGCAAAAAGAAATAAAAAGAAAGTGGTCTTTGATCCTACTTGTCAGTTAATAGTTTGGGGGACTGGACTTGTGAAACGACCCCAAAAATGCGCGAAAATGTGCTTCGAAAACACCTATAATTGTAATTTCCTTCTATCTAAAAATCTGTGCATGATTTCAGAAATTCGACTTCATAT